CTCATGGCCTTCATGCAGCTGAGGAAACACGGGACGACCTCCCACCTGCCCGGATCGCCGGGCTTTGCCGGATGGACGCCATCGGGCACGGCGGTGTCGGCCTTGACATAGGTTCTTTCTACGCTGTCCGTCGAAACGTTCAGCAGCACGTCCATAATGTAGGATTCCTGCGGCGGATAATCAGGTTGGCCCATCTTGGGTGCTTTGCGGGGAATAAAATCGACCACCACGCCCCAACCATACTTGGTGCCGCTCGGTGTCTCAATCTCGACCGGCCGGCCTGGCTTTAGGAACTTGACGCAATAATTCGGGTGCTGCATCACGGCGAGCATGTCCTTCTGGTATCCGTCGAGCTGTTGGCGGATGGTGCGGTAGTCCTTGATGGTGGCCTCGTCCGGGATGATCATGCTGTCTCGCTCCTGCTGCAGGCTGGCCAGGTCCCGCTCGAGCTGCGGGACGCTGGAGGTGTTTTGGAACTGGAAGAAACACCGCTCGAGCATGAATTCGGGTGAGATGGCCTCGATACGCAGCAAATTCAAAATCATGTTGTATCCCAGGTGGAACGCCGAGTTGAGGCGGTCCTGGTGGCCAACAACAACGCCCCGAGCCACATCAGGCTCGAGCTTGTCGTCAATCATCATGATGACGATACCTCGATCATCAAGACCACGGCGACCAGCTCGCCCTGCCATCTGGATGTATTCTGACGAGGTGAGCGGGCGGCGTTGGACGCCGTCCCATTTCGTAACTTGGGTAAAGACGACGGTCCTTGCGGGCATGTTGAGGCCGATGGAAAAGGTCTCGGTCGCGAACAAGACCTTGATTAAGCCTTCCTGGAACAGAATCTCGATGGTCTCTTTCAGGATGGGGAGCAGGCCCGAGTGATGGACACCGATGCCCTTCCGTAGCAAGGGGAGAATGTTGGAGATTTGTGGCAAGTTCTTGTCCTCGTCCGACAGCTGGCCCAGCGCATTCTGAAACACACTATCCACCATTGCCTCCTCGTCGGCGGCGTTGAACTTCATCACTGAAGTCTTGAGCGCCATCATCTCGCATTCGCGCTTGGCAAAGTTAAAGACGATTACGGGCTGGAAGCTCTTCTTGATGATCATCTTGATGACCTTGGCGATGTCGGACTTCTCGTCGGGTGCCTCGCCGCCCTTGTTCGTCTTCTTGTTCTTCCCCTTGCCCTTCTGCTTGGCGCTCCAGTCGGCCGGGTCGGACCCCTTTTTACTCTCGATGGCGGCCATGGCTAAGTTGAAGTTGTTCTCTTTGAAGTTTCCCTTCTCATCCACGATGAGGTGGATGCCATTGGTGCCGGCCGGGAAGAAGTAGTTCTGCAGCGGTGTCGGTCGGAAATCCGTGTAGACGACGTGGCAGGCCTGGCGGTGGATTTTGGCGATCCACTCGGCGAATTGGAAGGCGTTGGGGATGGTGGCGGACAGGAAGACATATCTGACCTTGTCCGGGAGGAGGATGATGGTTTCCTCCCAAACGACACCGCGAGTCTTATCGCGCATGTAATGGATCTCGTCAAAAATGACCCAGGCCACCTCGCGCATGATCTCGGAACCGCGATACAGCATGGACCGCAGAATCTCGGTGGTCATGACCAAGCAGCTGGCAGTCGGGTTGATGGTGACGTCGCCCGTCATCAGACCAACGTCGCCGAAGTCGGCTTGGAAGTCGCGGTATTTCTGATTGCTGAGCGCCTTGATGGGACTCGTGTAGATGACCCTTTGATTCCTCTTGAGGCATTGGGCAATGGCGTACTCGGCAACGACCGTTTTTCCGGCACTGGTGTGGGCTGAGACGAGCACGCTCTCATCGCGCTCGATGGACGCGACGGACATAGCTTGGAAAGGGTCGAGCCTGAACGGGTATGTCCTCGCGGGTTCGGCGGGGGGTTTGTGCTCGGAGAGAGGGATGTACTCATAATCGAGATCTGGTGGTAGCGCGACTTGATGTTGAATGTTGTGAGATAGGACGAGCGAGCCCTCATCTGTCGATGGTGCGAAGCCCTGGGCGGCGTTGACCTCTCTAGACTCGGCTGTCTCGAATGTGTCGGTGATGATAGGCTCGGCCTCGCCCTCCATTTTTTGCCTCTTGGTATCGGCTGGCCCCTCTGCATCTCCGTCCTCCTGCTCGTCCGCAGGGTTCGTATCCTCTTCCGGTTTGATCACAGCCGCACTTTCGTTCTGACCGTTTTCGAGATGGTCCGCCATTTCAACATCGGCGTCGGCCTTGCGTTTGGGAGCGCGAGGCTGCTCCTCGAACACAGCGAAGAGGTCATCCATGGTGACGGTCGACGCTCATCCGCTGGGGTCGAGATGGGTGCCGGGTGGATTATGCGCCGGACGAGTTGCTCTGGGTCGCGGCGACTCGAACAAAAGAAAAAAGTCGAAGTTCCCGAACTGGTTCCCCACTTTTCTGCCGGCAGCTCGCCCACCCTGCATGGCTCCAAGGCGGTGAGAAAACGACTCCACCGAGCCAAGCAAGCAAGGGTCGGGCCCACCTTTTCTGCTTTCTGCTTGGCTCACCACCACAATCTCACCACAACCACCCACCCCAAGTTCCCAGACAGCGATTGTGTAGATGGCAGTCTCGACTGTGGCAGCGAGCGCGTGACCATGAATGACGGTGGCCATTTAGGCCTCTACCCTCGCTGTAAGATTTGCGCAGACACGGTATGGACGCACGAACGGGTAATAGCACGTATGTACGGATTACACAATATTCACGCTCTATTTCGTGTAGTTAATTCCCTACCATATACCTGACCTTTACTCTCATTCAACTAGTCTTTGGGAACCCTGATTTGACATCTTATCGCGGTCACACCGAACCCTTCCCTTTTCCCCCAGACGGGCATATCATCGCCAGGGTCAATGGCCGTGAATTGTGCCGCCAACCCGACTGTAAAAAATGTGCTACCTCGCCCGAGTTCACTCTTGTCCACCATGACTGCTTCGAGGTCTTCCGGCAACAATGCTCTGTCAGTGCCTCAGTTGCGTTAGACCGTCTCTGGATCCTGGCTACGTGGAGCAGTCCCTGGGATCGAGCACAGCCTCTCTCTTTCTCGGCCCCAATGGTGGACAAGGGCACACTGAGAAGGATATCCCATTTTTGCGGATTGCCACGCCTACACACACTGCCCCTAGAGCTGCTTGAGATGATTCGACAACAGTCCAGGCACTCGTTGATTTGGAGATGCATTCCGGCACTGAAGCTGGCTGATTGTGTATCGACTCTAAGACCGGATCCGCTCTTTACGGTCCTGCTGCGAGATGTTCTCTCCTGGGAGCGTGGTGGGAAGCTTGAACGTGTCGATGAATCCCAGTCACCACCACCACCACCACCAGTACTGAGGCTGACGGTCGACTCTCTTGGAATCAGCAAAGTCGAACGCGTACCTGACCTACCAGTATACACAGGCGAATATACGAGTCACGTCGCCTTTATCGTGGAACAGGAAACATTTATACCTGACGCAGTGGCGCAGTTTAAGGCATGTATCTAATATCTCTCTTATTCTAGCGGCCATATACCAACATGATTTTTTACGTCAACAGTACGGACGGCTACGCCTTGGCTTACCCACTTGGCTACAGACGCTCCCTATTTGGCATACTCCTGCACCACCGAGCTTAGCTCTTTGCAAAGCGCATCCCAACGACCTTAGTTCGTGTCACATCTTCCACACGGTCGAGGTGAACAAGATACAAGGGATTACTTTCTTTTTCTCTTCGAGACAGCTGTTTTGCATCCATATCCACCGCTCGGAGAGCTCGTGCGCCATGGACACCTTTGAAACTCTTCCCGATCGACTTCGGCGGATCGCGGTCTGGTTTTATTTACCAATATCACGGTTCGACCCTGTCCTCGTACTCGGCATACGGCAAACATTACGTTCTCAAGCCGTCCTAGTCAGGACAGCGCTCACCGGCGATGTCATCATCGGCTCACGGTTTACATCCCCAACAGAGGTAAAGGACCGATGTTTGGCCGTATCGGCTCCAGTGACAATGATATACAGTGAACCGAAAGAAGGTCGCCCGATCAGCTTCTTCGGCTCTCGCCAGGGGCCACCTTTGAGTCAACCTCTCCCCGCACCGTTTCGGTTGGAGGACCCTGGCTGCTGGCCAGTGAGCGCTGATGGCTACTTCTCATGGGCCCCCCTGTCTGATGTTTCGTCAACACTGGCTTTCTACGACGCGAACACCGGGTTCTGCCGAGGAATTCTGTTTCACTACCAGAACGGTGGTTGCCGGGCGGTTGGCCAGTGCCGTCTAGGGGTAGACCCGGCAGAGACTGTCGTCCGACCAGTCCAGTTCTGTTTCTGGCACGATCGGTATCTAGAGGTCGAGCTAGTGCGGGTGAAGTTCACACAACACGAGAAAGAGGAACATGCCCAGGGGTGGAAGGTTTGGCCGATGAAGGGGTTGGTCAAGTTCTGGTTTACCGCCGAATCCTCGGTTCTAGTTGTTGAGGACTTAGAAAATTAAATACCAGTGTTTTATCAGACATCTTGTCTAGGAAATATACCTTTAGGACCATCAACCGCCTGTATGCTGACAACTTTAGGCAAAGTTAAAGGTGGTTGGCCCCGAGATCGACGACCCAATCTGAACGTTCGTTCCAGAGATCGGACCGTTGAACACAAACTGCCCCGGTTCTTGTGGGGCAGGGGCAGGCCCAGGCTCAATCGGCACGTCCATCGCAAGAGTCTTGTTCTGAACAACGGGTATCTCGCGCAAGATGGCCTTGGCGTACGCTGCAGCCATCGCCGCGGCGTAAGGCTGCCATTCCTTATTCTTGCGCTCGTCTCCGTAGTCGCACACACCCCGGATAACGCCGACCCGGATGCGGTTCATAGTCCCGGCGGCCTCCATCTCGAGGCCGATAAGACCGTACATATCCCTGAGCTCATCCCGCCTCCGGTTGCTCCGCATCAGCTTGTCGCCCGAGCCGATGGGTCCGTACCACACCCGGGTCCGCCGGGAATCCGGCCGCCATTCCCGCTGAATCGGCTTCTCATCAGCCCCGTACAGCATGTCCTTCCCCTGGCCGGGATCGGCAAAGGTGCCGGCGGCATGGCGCCTCTCCTTCATGCTCCTATAGTACGGGAGGAACCTCTCCGCCTCATTTGCCCGGTCAGCCTTGATCTCCTCGATCGCCGCCCGCACGATGGGCTCCGTGGATTCTAGCACATGCCCGGCACGCAGCAGTTGGAGGCCGCCGCTCGTGCCGGTCTCCCTGCCCAAATCATACGCCACCACCCCGGGACTCTCACCCTCGGGGAACGCCACCAAAATATCCCCGAGACGGATATCGCGGGGCGGGCTAAGGGAGAGGTTGGGGAGACCCGCGGCAACGCCGACCAGCAGACCGAACCGGAGGTACGGGAAGAACTTCTTCACTTGGCTGGCCAGCGCGGCCGCCGACCCCGTGCCGTATTCCTGCCCCGCCGGCAGGGTGACCAGGACGACGTTGTGTCCGCATATGTCGCCCCCGTAGAAGAGGTAGTCGTCGCCTCGACTGGTGCGGAACCTCCCGGGGTGGATGTGGTCGAACATATGTAGTCCCGCTTGGACTTCGATCTCGAGAGGGGCGATCCATGCCACGGTATAGAGGTTGGGGTTAAGTTCGGACATGGTTTTTATGCTTTATGGGAACACCAACATAGCTATAGCGGACGGAGTCTAAGAGGTAGTCGTACCTATTTGGAACCTGGGGACGGTTGAGGGCGCAGCGTACCATCGGAGAGCGTTGGGTAACACCAATGAAAAGGGCGCGGCTAACTCGGCGGGTCGCAGAAGGCTCTGAACCCCAGCCCCCAATTATCATTATGAGAGCATAGATATCATGGATAGTTACGAATGAAACGTTCTATATCAATAGCCTTTGAAAGGAGAAAGCCATCACAGTAGCCAACTTGTTTCGCAGATAAGTTACATCTCAAAACGCGGGCACTTGATGGGATGGATCAACAATACACTACTACCACGTTTGGGTCAATCAGCGGCAAAAATGTCATCGCTGGGACGAATGTCGCAGGGTCGTTGAACCTAACCATCCATAATAACTCAGGCATGTTTCTTCCCAACCCTTCTTGAGCCGTAAATCTCACACGCTTCAATTTCAGACGAGCACCCCGCTCCGTGCTACTCCATCCCGTTCCCGCGCAACGAGGGTATCATTCCCCGCCGCGGCATTTCCGACCTCCTCACCACCCTGCTGCCCCCGTCACGCGAATATCACAGCGCTGCCCTCTGGGGCCTTGGCGGGTCTGGGTATGACTTGACCGTACTCATGTCACAAGACGAGAGGAGCATACGGGGGTGCAGGCTGACGAGAGACATTAGGAAAACGCAAATAGCCCTCGACTATGCCTATCGCCGATGCTATGAGGACCCGGATTGCTCCGTGTTTTGGGTACACGCCGACAATGGGGCCTCGTTTACCGAGGACTACAGGTCCATTGCAAGGAAGCTGGGACTCCCGGAGAGCCTCTCAGGAAAGGATCTGCTGATGGGAGTTCGCGCGGGGATTGAGGCAAATCGGCATTGGCTTCTGGTCATCGACAACGCCGACAATCTGCAACTGTTCGGGGTACGAAACGCCCTACGAACCGGGAGCCAAGATCAGACGGTGGACACAACGCTTAACCTGTCCGAGTTCGTCCCGCGAGGCCCCGTGGGGACGGTGCTGTGGATAAGCCGAGACAAGGGGATCGAGAGCATTGTCGGTGTGCAGCGGGCCATCGAGGTCGCCCACATGGCCGAGGACGAGGGCATGGAACTGCTCAAAGCAGCCGGGGGCCTCGGCGACAACATGTTGGAGGGCGCGGCAGAGTTACTTGCCGAGCTCGACTGCCACCCACTTGCTTTGTCCCAGGCAGCGGCATTCATGCGGAGGATGTTCATGACGATAAAGGAGTACTTGTCACGGCTGGCGAGCCGCGAGAAGAGATGGAGCGTGCTGCAAAACTCTGCGTATGACCCCTACCGAAGGCAGGGGCTAACAAACAATCCCCTGAAAACGTGGGATATCTCGGTGGCACAGCTCCGGCAGGAAAACGAGGTCGCATTCGATATGCTGCACATCCTGGCCTTCCTGGATAACCAGGATATTCTGTTTGAGATACTTTACCAGGCGGCGACTCTTCGCAGTCGTTGGATTACGAATGACCGCAAAAACAACAAAGATGACAACAAAAACGAAGATGCGAACGGGGATGACGGTGAGCATGAGAGTGAGAGGAGCAATGAGGATGACAGTAAGGGTGAAACAGAGGAGGAAGCCCTCCTAGCCATTGCCCGGCTGCAAGAACTGTCCTTCCTGCATGCCTGCGCAGCCGAGAGCAAGGGCCGGACGTATAAAATGAACAAGCTTGTACAAGAAGTCATCCTATACACCTTAACCAACGAAGACCGGCGAAAGGACCAAGTGCGGTATTTGAGGCTGGCGCTCCAGATCCTCGGGGATCTATTCCCGAATCATGGACTAGAACACTGGGCGGGGTGCGAGAGATATGTGATTCACGCCCAGCGAGCGGCAGCATGGGCGGGGATGTGTGGAGAGGAAGTTGGGGCATTGGAGCTCCTGGCGAGAGTTTCGACCTACCTATTCCACCGCGGGATGTGGAACGAGAGGGAGCCTATCAACAAGATGGTGTGTGAACTTCGACTGAAAAGGTTTGGCGAACACCACCCTGCTACACTTAACAGTTGGGTGTCGCTCGCCGCGACGTACCGCGGACAGGGGAGGTACCAGGAGGCAGGAAAGATCAACTCTCAAGCCCTGGCGTTGCAACGTGATATTCTTGGGGAGAGGCATCCTGATACCATGCAGAGTATGTCGAGCCTCGCTGTGATATACTATGAACAGGGGAGGCGCGATAAGGCAGAGGAGCTCGGAGTCAAAACCCTCGCATTACAGCGTGAAATTCTTGGTGAGAGACACCCCGATACCATCCAGAGTATGGCGATCCTGGCCGGGATATGCCACAAACGGAGGAATTACGACGAAGTAGAGGAGATGAGACTCGGGGCCCTTGCGTTACAGCGTGATATTCTTGGTGAAAGGCACCCTGATACCATCCGGAGTATGATGAACCTCGGGATAGCATACCGCGAACGGGGGAGGTATAAGGAGGCAGAGGAGCTAGGAGCCAAAGTCCTCGCATTACAGCGTGATATCCTTGGCGAGAGGCACCCGGAGACCATCAAGGGTATGGTAAATCTTGGGGTGGCATACCGTGAACGGGGGAGGTATGAAGAGGCAGAGAAATTGGGAGTCAGGGCACTCGCACTACACCGCGAGGTTCTTGGTGAGAGGCATCAGATGACCATCTGGGTCATGGTACATTTGGCCTTAATCCGGTTTCGGCAGCAGCGTACTTCTGAGGCCGTGGCTATGATGGAGGACTGTTCCGCCCTGTTTCACGAGATGTTGGGGGCAGACCATGACTTCACGCGAACTTGTGTCAAGTTTTTGGAGAGTTGTGGTAGAGAAGAGAAGAAGGATGGTAACGCTGTCAAAGGGTAGACTTTTTGCCTTCCGTCTCAAACCGAGAGGATCCCTCCCCTCCACATCACTCGTTTCAAAAACATCAACCTCTTTTATCTTGGTCCCATGCCATTTTGTTGTTTGCATTACACAGACGGAACGCCGACTCCTTTTTAGGACCCACCCCAGGCCCAGGGCTCCGAGGCACGACCTCCCTTTGGCCAAAAAAAGCCGAGCTCGAAATGGGAGCAAGAAATCAAGAAAAGAGAAAGAGGGAAAAGAAAAACCAAGAAGATTAAGAGGTAGAAAGCCGCGTCAAGTAAATCAAATAAAAGAAACAAAGTCAGATAAAAAAAAGACATTGGGCTTTCGAATGGCTTTCTTTTCGTTCCTCCAGTCCAAGGTTCTGGCGATACCTCCACTTGGAGTTCGGCTTTTTTTGGCCAGAGAGTGACGACGTAGGCGGACCCACATCCAAAAATGTTGAGATGCAACTGAGTTCCTCGGCCAGCCATTGCAGCTTCCCTTCCCTTCATATTTCACCTAGCATTGCTCACCACCACAATCGAACCCACGGCTCTGCACCGCAATGGCGACCAAACTGTCACTTAAGCTCACCAATAGAGCACCGAAAAAACCGATTCGGAAGCTGCCACCAACTGTCGAGCTGCCGCACGATGCCACCATCGAGGACGCGAAGATGGTGATTGCCCGCCAGTCGGGCTTCACCGACTACAACCGCATCGGTTTGTTTGACCCGGTGTCCAAGCAGAATCTCAAAAACCGGAGGGCTCTCGTTCGTGACGAGGCCGGCGTCACCTCTGTTGGTGAGCTTGTCGTCAAGGACCTGGGTATGTGCACCGCCTTTCCCTCCCTATCCACACCACCATCAGCCTACTAACTTGATGTAGGCCCCCAGGTCGCCTGGCGCACCGTCTTCGTCATCGAGTACTTCGGCCCGATCCTCTTCCACGCCCTCGTGCCCCTCATCCGCCCCTACATCTACCTCATCCCGCCCTTCGCCTACAAGAGCGAGTCCGAGACGCCCATGACGCAGGTGCAATGGCTGCTGTTTGCACTGTTCCACCTCCACTTCCTCAAGCGCGAGTTCGAGACCGTCTTCGTGCACAAGTTCTCGGCCAACACGATGCCCGCCCGCAACATCGTCCGCAATTCGGCCTTCTACTGGCTCATGGCCGGCCTGCTCTGCGCCCTCGACGTCTACGCCCCCGGCAACCTGTCGGCGCGCGACGAGCTGGTGCCGCTCGACTACGTGGGCCTGGCCCTGTTCGCCGTCGGGGAGGCGTGCAACTGGATCGTGCACCAGCACCTGGCGAGCCTGCGCAAGCCCGGCGGCACCGAGAAGGGCATCCCGAACTGCATCGGCAGCAGTCTGGTGACGAGCCCGAACTACATGTTTGAGGTGCTGGCGTGGGTGGGCGTGATTTTGATCAGCCGCAGCTGGGCCGTCGTGCTGTTCATCTGCACGGGCATCATCTACATGCGCAGCTGGTCGCGCGGCAAGGAGAAGGCGCTGCGCAACGAGTTTGGCGACCGCTACAAGAAGAAGCGGTACACCATGTTGCCGGGGCTGATCTGAGCTGTCGTGTGCTGGCTGGCGGTGGATGGGGATTGGGGTGTACGATTGAGCATTGTATCGGATATGAAAACGCCCGGCTGTATGGCCAGCATGGTGGGATGTAGTACTAGAAACTGGGACTCGAAGTAATCGTTAATTTACTATTTGACAACATGCCCATCTTTCATATCGTAGATCGTAACAACCCAGGACGTCTCAAGTCATCCCAAACCCTCAGCCTATCATACTCTGTTCCCCTGGCGGTGACGCCGGCAGCGGCACCATCTCAGGTTGATGCTGCTCAATACCCATGACCACATCCCCTTCCCCATCCCTCTCCACGACCCCATCACCGTTTCTGTCCCCATCCACATCTCCATCACCCCCGCTACCCTCCTCCCTATCCTCCCCATCTTCCCTCCCCGTCCCCCTCCCAATCACTCCCATCACTCCACCCCTCACTCTCACTCTCCACTCCCACTCTCCTCCCCATCAGAACCCCCCCCTTCACCACCACCGCCACCACCACCCACCAACCTCAAAGTCTCCTCCAAAATCACAAACTCCCTCTCCAACATCTCCGCCCAATTCTGCACATTCCCAATCTCCTTCACCCTCCGCGCATGCGTCTCCGCCAGCCGGCCCAGCCGCTCGTTCTCGCGCGCCAGGCCCGCCGTCGCCCGCGCCACCTCCCGCTCCTGCCGCTCGATGGCCGCGTTGTTGGCGTGTAGTTGTGCCGCGCGTGTGCCGAGTTCGCGGTCGAGCTGGTTGCCGATGGAGGCGAGGATCGCGTGCCGCGCTTGGGTGATTTCGGAGGGTTGGGGGTGGGTTGGTTGCGGTTGGATGGGGATGGCGGGGTGGTTGGGGGGGTGCAGGTTGGGGTGGGTGGGGAGGGTGGTGGCGGCAGTGGTGGTGGTGGTGCTTGTTAGCTGTGAGGAGGTTGGCGGGTGGGTTGCTGTGGTGGTGGTGGTGCTGGTGGTGTTGCGGGAGGTGGTGCTTGGGGTGGTGGTGGAGGTGGAGGCGATGGTGGCGGCCCTGCTGGAGGAGGAGGCCGGAGGTGAGTGGACTCGCGCCGCAGTAGAGGTTGAGACAGAAACAGAGACAGAAGAAGAAGCAATGGACGGAGCGCTGGAGGGGTTGAAAGGCCTCGGCTTCGGCTTTGGTTTGCTGGAGGTGGAGCCGGAAAGGAGAGACGAAAAGAGGCTGGCTGGCTTGGAGCTGCCGCTCGCCTGCAAATTGCTCGTAAATGTAGGCGAAGACGCTGTCGCTGTCGTGTTGGTGACGGACGGCGCAGAGGGTTGCCCCCGGCTGATGGAAGCCGGTGTGAGCCGAATTGGCGCTGCGGCGGACGGCATCGCGATGGTTGTGTTTACTTCTCGGTTTTTCTCAGGGGAGTGAGTCTAATCAACTCAATCGGAAACGTGCATAAGCGTGCGCTGGAGCCGAGTCATGCATTCATCCAGCAAGCTGTTTCGGTTTCGCAGCATGAGGATTGATTGTGGGTGAGACGGATTGATGCGGGGTGATGGAATGCTTGCAGGAGTAGTTCATGGCCAGCCACCATGCGACGAACGGAGAGCGGACCAAATCCCAAGGCCCAATTCGACAATATCAGGACGGGAGCACAGTCTCACGTCACCAGCATACGGCTTCAGCAATGATCGACCCCATTGAATATGTACTACACGCTGAACACGGCCGTTACTCGACTGCCACCAAGCACCCGATCCAGTCTCAGCCAACCCATGCATCCAGCCCACAAGACATTATGGATATCCTATGCCGCCAAACCCGCCATGCACCGACGCCATGCACCGCACCAAGGACGTTGATTTTTCAAGACCACGTAGGAAAGCCCCAGCCAAACAAACACCAGCCAACATATCCCAAAAAAGATCCATTCCAATCATCCATAGCATCCTATTCCCCAACTCCATCTATATTCCCATCCCATCCCAAGACCAATCCAACCCCCTAAAACCCACCCACCTTCATATTCCCCCCACCGTTCAACCGAAACGGCAACGGCCCCAACGGTCCCGACGGACTGAGCGCCGAGCTCGGCGTAACAATACCGTCATGCGAGCCAAGACTACTCATAGAATTCAAGCTCGACGCCGTCAAGCTCGCCGTCGAGCTCGAATTCATCGTCCCGCTACGCGACGACACGCCATTGAACCCCCCGCCAAAACTGCCACCACCACCACCTCCCCCTCCCCCTCCGCTACCGCCACCCCCACTACCGCCCATCAACGAGAGCATCGTATCGGAGCGGTCGCGCTCAAACACGCCCGAAAACGCCAGCGAGAACGAGGCACTCTGCGGCGTGGACGGGACAGTAGCCTGGACGGCCGGGCCGAGGGCGGCGCTCTGCGGCGTCATGGGCATCTGGACGGGGGCGGTGGCGGTTTGGGCGGCGATGTAGGGCGAGGTGATGGGCTCGGAGCCCGGGTGGCGCAAAAAGTAGGACCAGGGGGACGACATCATCAGGTCGCACGTGTCCTTCATGCTCTTTTGGATGGGCCGCAGGCGGGCCTTGGTGTCGAGGGGCAGCTGCACGTCGTTCTGCAGCTGCATGATCTTCTTGATCAGCACGTACCACGAGTCGATGAAGCTGTTGCAGAGGCGCCAGAAGGACGGCTGCGTGCGGATGCCGGGCTCCTTGAGCTTGATGGAGGATAGCCGGGCTTTGAGGACTTCGGTCTGCTGGATCGACGTGTTACACTTAGCCACGAGCGCCTTCCAGCACTGGATGAGGTGATCGGGCGAGCGCTGGGTGGTGGTGGTCCGCATCGAAGACATGAACTGCGTGTTCATGGTTGGCAAGACCTGCATGACCAGTTCTGTTGTTTTGTGGAGGGAGAGGAATATTCTCTCGAACAGGCGGTCTTCTTCGGTGAAGTCCGCCGACAGATTCCGCGTGCCAGTCGTGCTGGTAGAGGCGAATGACTCGCCCGACCGCGGTGTGGCGGCCCCTACCATCGCCGACCGGCCTGTGCCGTTGATGTAGGGAATCGAGACATCTGTAGCAACACGTAAGTTGCTCGGGTTATAAACAAAGGTGCCGTTTCGAGATCTATTCAAAATTCGATCGGCTGTCGGCGTGACCGAGTTCTCGCGCGAATGAGGCCGAATCGTCTCCCCCAAATCAGGTCGGCTGAAGGACGGAACGGACCGATGAGTACCCTCGGCCGCCAGCTGGGTACAAGTTACGCGCAGCTCCATTATGCTATTATAGAGCTGCGTCAACAGGGTGCGGATATATCGCGGGTCGCCGTTATCCAAAAACAGGTCAACATTGCTCATCAACAACGAACACACATGTGTATAGGCGTTGATGAGTGTGAGACACGCCCTCTGCACGTTTTCGTTTTCTTTTTGGCCGAACTTGTCGTCTGCCTGGTCATGCTGCTGGATCTCGAGTTCTAGCTGCTCGACATGGGCGTTTGTGTTGTAAAAGACGATCTCCAGGTTCGATCGGCGCGATGTGCCGTCGTTGGTAAGACCGACCAATAACGCCTGGATCATGGGGTGAATCTGGAAGATGGAGTAAAGGATGCCCTTGGCAGCTTCCAGCACCGGGTCAAAGGCCTTGGAATCGCGTTTCCTCTCTGGCAAAATAGAGAGCCTGCGGATGTATACGGGCCGCTGCAACGCCGACTCGGCAGGGCTACCCATGTTGGGGCTCTTGACCTGCATAGATGCCCCATTGCTCTGCATCGCCGAACCATGGCTGAGCCCGCGGTAATGGCTGAACCGGTTGTTGACCTCGATCTCCTCGAGCGTGCTCAGCTCCGACCTCTTCGACACCATGCCCATGCGGCGCGATCTGCTCTCGGATCGGTCTCGGCTCGAAGTTTGAATGATGGTCTCCGAGTTGCTGCGCACCCGCTCGTTGGGGTTGCCGATGGTCAGCGGCATGACTCCCGGCCTGCGCTGCGCCGTGTTTTGTTGCGAGAGCCCACGGTAGTGTGAGCGGGTCGGAATCGGTGGGGGTCGGGGGAGAGCGGGGGAACGGAGATCGGTGATGTCGCTCCCGTTGACCTTGATCGGGAATCTGCCACTAAAGACTCGCTTGATCGTTGGACGCGGGGTTTCGGTCCCCTCCGACCCGCTGTTACCAGGCGAGTCCGCACGACCGCTGGCTTCTTGCTTTAGGAACTTCTTAATTACCGCCGTGGCGGCGACTTCGGTCATCTCGGTCTCCCTCCCTGGCCCATCACCCTGACCTCCCGTTCCCTGCACTTGTAGTATTTCTGGCGGAGGATATTTCAACGGATTACCCTCCAGCTTTACCACGGATAACGACGGCATGTCGGCGAGGCAGAGTGGCAGATGTGTGATCTTGTTTTTCGGAATTGAGAGAACTTTGAGGGACGACAGCTTGACGATCTCGGGTGGCAGAACCTGCAACATGTTCCGACCCAGATCGAGAATTTCGAGCGATTTCAGATCGCAGAGCTGAAATCGCTCGGTCAGCACCTGTTCATCCACGGTTCCCGTCACCAATTGATACTCACAGCCAATGGAAACTCTTTTATCCTATTTTGCCGAACATTGAGATACCGCAACGAGGTGCATTCGGAAAACCTGGCCGGGAAGGTCTGCAAGTAGTTGTGGGACAGCGCAAGCCTGTTGCCACGCAATTAGAGGAGCGCGAGTCAGCCCGGGACAAGGGGCCCTACCGCTCCAATTCATCCTTGATCACGTCCACGATTTCCTCCGGCAGCATTTGGATCTTTTTCCTGCTCAGGTCGATGGTGAGGCCGGGTTTGAGGGTGTTGCTGACCCCGCTGGCCTCGGCTGCCTTGGCCTCATTTTCGTGGGCCGTCCGCATCGCCTCTCTCGCCACGGCAAGCACCTGGTTCGGGGAGATGGGCTGCCCCGCCGAGAGGTTCGAAGAAGAGGGCACATCACGAAGGCTCGGGACCGGAGGCGGCGGTGTCGGGTTGGCGAGTGCTGCGGCAGCGATTGCCCGACGGGCCTGCGCCGGATTATCGGGCAGTCCTCGTGGGAAATCCATCGAGACGGATGGCCCTTCAATCAATCGCCGGCCGGTTCTCGGCGGAGTGGGATTACGGCGGGAGGCGACGGGGCGTCGATTTCGCCTTTTTGGGAGAGACTTCGGCTGTCGCAGAACCAGGAGATGGAGATTTTAAGCCGGAGGGCGAGGTGGTGACAGCCGGTCGGACGGGTTCATGGCGAGACCAACCTCCTTGGGGTCGGGACAGGGGGGCCCAGGGAGTGACCCAGGCGGTGAACAAGAAGTCGACCGCTCAAGGCACGGCAAAAGCGGCGCGTTCGATTTTAGCGTCCGTCGGCAGCGGCGTCGATGTCGAGAAAGGGAGTCGATGGGAGGATGCAAGCAGTGCGCCGTCGGATCAAAAATTGCTTTGCCTTGTCTGAACTCTGGGTTGTCGTCTCGGGCCCATGTCAGGTAGCAAAACGCCCAACATAGGGGTTAGTGTAGGGGCACATTGGGGTGCATGTCACAACTAGACAAGGGTTGTGCAGCCTGCGCGCTGAGCATCAAGGTGGGACGGCTAAAGACCCCGCTCTCTGTGGCCCGTGCCGTGCCATTCCTCCCAGCACGGGTGTGTTCCTAGCATCCGTCTCGCCAAACGCCTCGCAACGGGGTTAGCGTGCCTCAAAACTGCAAGGGAACAAATCGCACTCAACGTCACCACCACAGCAGGACGCACGCGCAGCAACACGGTGAAAGCGACATTGATTGGCTGTCGACAGCGTCACATCTGAGAACGGACAACCACACAACGCCAAAAGTTTCGATGTGAAACGAAACAGACGCGAAGCTGGGTACGAGGGATTCTCCCATGGGCGGGTGTCGATTGGGTGCTGCTGCATCCTTTTCCCTTCGACGCGTGGAGTGGCCTCGCCTTCTCTCCATCCGACCACCGATCCGTGTTTTGCGGTCGGAGGATCTCTGGTGGCAGGTTCATCTGCTGTGCGCTGCTGACTTGCATCTCGATGCGGACATGGCTCTCGTGTCACCCCAATAATAGATAAATCGCCTGACAATCCTGTGCTTTTGAAGATTATCACACCCTCTCGACCAGGTTTTGCCGCCGGCGGGCTCTGTGAAATAGGAGAACAATTCTCGGGCGTTTCTTGGCAGGGGTTCGGGGTCAGGGGAACTGACTCTTTTGAATTGTTCGGCTTCAGTCTCGGGTCTTCATGGTGTCACAGGAACAGGAAAGACCAGAGGTACTTGAAGATCGGACGGTATACTTATTCGACCCTAACCCTCCCTCAATATGCTCCCTGTTCTGCAGAAGGCCAAAGTGCGGGACCATTGTTCAGCAACAAGAAGCCTTCGAGTTGTCGAAGATTGGTGATATTGTGTCGAGACGAGTGCCAAAAATTGGGCGAAGAGAAACAGCTGACGGAACGGCCAAGCATATTTTACTCGCTCCAATTTCCACCAGTTTAGGCCCTTCCAGGTTGTTGTCAACTTCCCACTTTTGCCCATTCATGGGATCAGAAAAGCAGGAACCGATTCAGGCATCTATCTATCTGCACCCTTCGAATACGCGCTTTCATAAAATGCAAACACGGATTTGCGGAACCGGAAGGTAATGAAGCCGCTATGCTATTCATGATCTCTTGATAAAACCGCAACGATCGGGTACTATGCCTCTCGCCAGGAGCAACTCGCTCCAGGACATCGACTTTACCCTCCGGCGACAGTTCAAGAAAACGACATTCAGGTATGCCGTTACGCCCGGTTCTTGAGGTTGAGAATAATGCCTAATACATGACCAGACCGCATCAGCGTGAGATAATCCTCGCCGCTCTCGATGGGAAAGATGTTTTCGTTCAGGCAGCCACGTCGTTTGGCAAGAGTTTATGCTTTCAACTGCCAGCCGTGATAGATCCTGGAAGTATGGCTCCCTCCTATCACTCCTATTTAGGAGAGGTATTGACAAAGGCTAGTAACGATTGTCATATCCCCTTTGTTGAGTCTCATGGTAGGTTGCAGCCGGCCATCTCAGAAAACGTTGTTATCTGACTAGCTCCAGATGAACCAAGTCGAGGCTCTCCGTGCAGCCAACGTAGATGCCCGAACACTAAACAGCAACATCCCCCTCCCCGAGCGGGACCGCATCTACCAAGACCTCGCCACCGGACACCCGCATACTCGCCTCCTTTATGTGACCCCCGAGCTCTGCTCCTTCGATCGCTTCCGCGAGCGTCTCAAATTCGTGCATCAGCAGAAAGAACTCGCCCGCATCGTCGTCGACGAGGCCCACTGTATCTCAGAATGGGGCCATGACTTCCGCAAGGACTTCAAGCGCCTCTCATGGTTCCGCGAGACCTTCCCAGACGTGCCCATCATGTGCCTGACGGCCACCGCGAACGAGCAAGTCCGCCGAGACATCCTCTCCACCCTGGGCATGGACAAGACGCTCGACCGGCTGCGCAACTTCACCATGACAGCCCACCGCCCAAACCTCCACCTCGAAGTCCGCTTCACCAGCGACGAGGCCAACGACCGCTTCGACGACTTCGTCACCTGGCTCAAGGGGGTCTACTCCCGGCGCGCCGCCGCCGACCGCAAACCGGAGCTAGAAGCCGCGAGCGAGCGCATCGACAGCGTCCCGGGCATCATCTACACCATCTCGCGCGACGAGTGCGAGTCGCTGGCTGCCGCCCTCCGCTGCGAGGAGATTGGCGCGCGGCCCTTCCACGCCAAGCTGCCCAAGCAGGTCAAGGAGGAGACGCTCGCGCGGTGGATCGCCAACGAGCGCGGGTACGACATCATCGTGGCCACCACGGCGTTCGGCATGGGCATCGATAAGGAGAACGTGCGCTTTGTCGTGCACTGGCGTCTGCCCAAGAGCTTTGAGGGGTACTACCAGGAGGCCGGGCGGGCGGGGCGTGATGGGAATGCGAGCTACTGTTTTCTGTACTATGCGCGTGAGGACAGAGATCGGGTGTGTAATATGGTTATGAGAGACGGACCGGCGGGGAATGACAAGAACAAGCAGGCGCGGATGGAGAGCCTGAACCGGCTGGTCGCGTACTGTGAGGATACGACTGGCTGCCGGCATGCGGCGATCTGCAAGTATTTTGGGGAGGAAAAGGTGCCAGAGTGCGATTATGCGTGCGACTGGCATAAGGATGCACCGGGCTTGAAGAAGAGGATGATGAGGGGCCTGGCGAGCGAGGAGTGGGTGAGTACGCAGCGGCAGGAGGGGATGTATGATGATTATTATTACAGTGATTAGTGCGCAGAAACGGCGCTGAATACTAAGAGCACTTTTAATGTTATCATCTATCACCCCATACCTGTTCCCATCAGGCAGATTTTGTTATGTTTTTGATGCATACCCCCATGTTCCCGTCGATAGCCACGACGAGCAATCCGACTTAAATGAAGAAAAAATATTAAAAAGCTCACCGCCCAACCCTAGTTACCACGCAACTGGGGGGTGGACGGCCACGAAAACCCCGCAGGGTTGTTCTTCGTGGGAGAGACCACGTCTCGAACCCGTGATGTTTACCTCACAACCCCCAAGTTCAAACCGCTGCGGCACCCGTAGCGGTACTTAGGGGCTGGGTGACAATTGAGCACGTGGAACTTCTATATCTAGTGCCGAAGGGCCAGAGTTGGGACGGCGGGAAGGAGCTCGGTGGGCCGGGCGTGGGAGCCTTGATATGGGATGACAAGGGGCATTGGTAACTTAGCCTGAGTGGTTGAGCCCAAGGGAATGCCAACACCAGTGTCATGTCTCCTCTTCAAGTAACTCTGGCCACTCCTTAGTCAACTCCTCCAAGTTCCTCCGCCATTGCAACCACACCATCCCCTGCAGCACGGCATCCGACAAGTCGTCCATCTTGGTTATCGCCTCCTCCACCTCGCCCCCCTCAACCCCATCAACATCAGCGGCCTTTTTCTTCCCCGCGCCCTTGCCCTTCCCACCTTTCCTCCTCTCCATCTTCTCCATAAACAACCGCACCATCTCCGTCGCCTGCCCCTTTTCCGGAACAGCTATCCCCCCATCCACCAAATACCCCCCCAACATATCCACCTTCTTCCTCTTCAACTTCAGATACGCCTTCCCCGCCGTCGCCTTCCCCTTCCCCTTCCCTCCCCCCTCCTCCTCCACCCCCTCAACATCCACACCCGCAAACAAAAACTCGGCCACCGTCTTCGGCAGCACCGACTCCACCCTCCCCTCCCACACCCCTTCACCACCAACCACACCCTCCTCCCCCACCTTAAGCGCCGCAAACGCGGCATGCAGCATCGCCTCGAGCGAGTTGACGCGTATCGTCCACTCGTGCACGGCCGCGGCGCCGTGCGAGCGGAACCGTTGTCGCTCGATGAGCACGTGGGTTGGGCGTAGCGGGAGGAGCCGGGTTTTGATCAGGTGCGCGGTTATGGTGGCGAGCGCGGCGGGGGAGAAGGCTTCTTCTTCTTCTTCTTCTGGTGGTGGTGGTGAGGGGGGTTCTTCGGAGGGGGTGGGGGTGGGGGTGGTTGTTTTTGTTTTTGTTTTTGGTTTGTTCTTGGTGGTGGTGGTGATGGTGGTGGTGGTGGGGAGGGTTAGGTCCAGGCGGTGCCAGGCGTGGAGACGGATTGGGGAGTTTAAAGGGGTGGCGTTTGAGCTGGGGGGCTGTTTTTTTGCTGGAGGCGCTGGGCTTATGAGGGAGAAGGCGAAATTCTTGAGGCCGAGGTCGATGCTGAGGATGCGGGAGGAGGGGGTGATGGGTTGGAGGTTCCTGGCGGCATGGCGGAGGCGCTGGACGAGGGCCGCCTTATTTCCAACTCTTCGTAGGCCGCAGGATAAACACAAGGCTTTGAGGGCGAGGCTCTTTTCGCCGAGGAGGGTTTTGTTGGTCATAGTGACATCGGTGTTGATGAAGCTGAAGGATACTGTGAGCAATGAAGACAGGAAAAGGAATTGAATGTTCGTTTATGCGAGTAATAACTTCATAGTATTGTAAGCAAAGTTAAAAGGTAAATTACCGTAGAAAATAGACTCCTCGACAACCCCAGATACTAATAAAAGCCCCGCTGTCAATGTGAGCTAAAGTAAACAATAAACCCTGGGAATCCTGAAAGTTCGAACCGGCATCACTGGTGGAGCATTCGTCGGCGTTCGACACCCCTGTCAAAAACCATCGGCGCCGGAGAAGTGGAGCCCGGTTTTTCGGCATCTTTTCGCTATGTCGGCTGTTCTTTGATCTCCCCGTCTGCGAGTTACTGAGTAATCCATTCTTTTTAATCCGCCCTGTGCTGATTCATCCGATGTGGTGACTAGTCGGATTTGGAATTCTGTATTACCTACCTTGGACCCTTGAGCCCATCCTGTGGTTGCGCAATCCCAAGGGCGCTACTCCCTGCATGACGGATTTGTCACGTTTGCCCACTCACTTTTGTATATAGCCCCTCCACCCCGCGATAACCCCTCTGCAGCAAGGCAGAGACAACATCCACTTCCATGCAACCCCTTTCACTATTAGCAAGACGTCCCTTGCTCTCGTCCATACCCGCAGCAAGCCGAATTAGCACAATCTCCCGCCATTTTTCACAAACATCCCTAGCCATGGCGCCCATTTCCAAGGAGACCGACTTCCTCGTGATAGGAGGTGGTAGCGGTGGTCTCGGTGCTGCCCGTGCAGCTAGCGCCAAGTTTGGGACCAAGGCGATGGTCATTGAGGGCAAGCGGCTAGGAGGCACATGCGTCAACGTCGGGTGAGTATAATTTCCCTTACCCGTAGCTATGGAACAAGACACTGACAACCTCCAGTTGCGTCCCGAAGAAAGTAACCTTCAACGCCGCCGCTATCGCCGAGACGATCCACCAATCCAAGTCGTACGGTTTCAACGTACAGGAAACCGCCCCTTTCGATTGGAGCACCTTTAAGAAGAAGCGCGACGCCTACATCCTCCGGCTGAACGGCATTTACGAGCGCAATCTCGCCAACGACAAGGTCGAATACGTGCATGGCTGGGCGAAGATTCTCTCGAAAAACCAGGTCGAGGTGACGCTTGACGACGGCACCAAGACGGTGGTCAATGCCAAGAAGATCCTTATCGCCGTCGGCGGCAACCCGACTGTTCCCCCGCCGATCCCCGGGTCTGAGCTCGGCACCAACAGCGACGGCTTCTTCGACATCGAGACACTACCGAAAAAGGTTGCGCTCGTCGGCGCCGGCTACATTGCGGTCGAGTTCGCGGGCATGTTCAACGCCCTCGGCGTTGAGACGCACTTGTTCATCCGGCACAACACCTTCTTGCGGCACTTCGACCCCATAATTCAGGAGGGCGTGACCAAGGAGTACGAGAGGCTGGGCGTGAAGCTGCACAAGCAGAGCGCGGCCACCAAGGTGGAGAAGGACGAGGCGGGGAAGCTTACGATCCATTACAAGGAAGGGGACGGCGAGGGTGTTGTTTCGGGAGTGGACCACCTCATCTGGGCCGTTGGGCGCACGCCCGCCACCGCAGACCTCGGGTTGGAGTCGGCCGGTGTGCAGGTCAACGAGAAGGGCTACATTGTCGCGGATGACTACCAAAACACCAATGTTGAGAACATCTATGCGCTTGGCGACGTGACCGGCCGGGTCGAGCTCACACCGGTGGCTATTGCCGCGGGCCGCAGGCTAGCTGCGCGGTTGTTTGGACCGGAACAGTTCAGCACATTAAAACTCGACTACAGCGGCATCCCCTCCGTCGTGTTTGCCCACCCCGAGGTTGGGTCCATTGGGTTGACGGAGCCGGAGGCGGTCGAGAAATACGGGCGGGAGAACCTGAAGATCTACAAGACGAATTTCACCGCCATGTACTACGCCATGATGGAACCCGATCAGAAGGGCCCCACTGCCTACAAGCTGATCTGCGCGGGGCCTGAGGAGAAGGTTGTCGGTCTACACATTTTGGGTCTATGGTAGCGGGGAGATGCTCCAGGGCTTTGGTGTTGCTGTCAAGATGGGTGCCACAAAGGCTGACTTTGACAGCTGTGTGGCCATCCACCCGACGAGCGCAGAGGAGTTGGTGACTTTGAAATAGAGACCGCTGGAGTGTTAGGTAGAAGGCACTATGTCTTGCGTCTTGAGTTAATAGACTCGTAATTCGTATATCCTGGCTCAAATTTTGAAGAACAAAATATCATTTCTCATCCCCGTTCGTCGTTTTTTTGTTATTCAACTTAAAGGTTGCTGTCGTCCCCTTCAGAAGTCGATTGTCGTTATGTTCAAGATTGCCCTAGTTAGTATAACTAACCCTAACCCCATTTTTGCATTGCTTAGATAAAGCTACCCCTGCCAGTCCGGCAGCCTGGTGCCGCGGAAGCGCAAAAAGTCACACCACTTCAGCCGAGCTCCAATCCAAACGTCAATGCTCCATTCGAGCGTCACAGCCGAAACCAAGCTCGAATTCACCTCACCACCACCCTCGCCATCGACCAACACCCAACAAACTCCACTCACTCATTCAAGGTAATCACCACCGGCACCTCCCAAAAACACCTTCAACAACCCATCCCCCGAATTGACCCCTCCACCACCAACACCACCCCCAACACCTCCAGCTAACCCACCCCCCCTCTCCAAAAAGAAAAATGCTTGCCCGCGCGACCACCACCGCCGCCCGCCAGCTCGTGGCCCGCCGCGCCTTTACCACCACCCGCGCCCGCCTCTCGTCCCCCTACCACTACCCCGAGGGCCCGCTGTCCAACATCCCGTTCAATCCGCGCAAGAAGGGCTTTGGGATCGCGTATTGGACGTTCATGGCGACTGGGTTTGGGTTGCCGTTTGGTATTTCGGGTATGTACTTTTTTGTCGTTGTCGTTGTGGTTGGGTTGGGTTTGGGGAGTTGGGGGGTTGTGGTGATGGTGGGGGATGGGGTGGAGGGGGGATGGGAGGCAGGGGGTGGGGGATAGTTGTTGGGGATGGGAGAAGGGGTTTGAAAAAAAGATGTGCTGACATTGGTTGTGATACAGTTTGGCAGACTTACCACCCGGCCAAGTAAGCTCGTCATGGACTTCGTTTAGGCTCGGAGCAGGATGAAGGGGGCGGCTCGCTCGGTTTGGAAGGCGGTTGATGAACAATGCGCAGGGGATCGCTCTGGGAAGGGCTGTCTGTACATGATACGGGGCCGATAGAGTAGACATCAAAACGATTGGTTTCCTTGGGTTGCTACGTTGTATTGGGCTAGATGTCGTCGTTGTGTGTTGGATACGGGAGATGCCAATGATGGACACAGGGCTAGACTAGTAAGGTAAGGTTTCAACTGCGACCCAGCCGAGCTATGAGCTCGAACGAAGGTGATCATGTAGGTGTATGGTTGCCTTATTTCAACTGACCATGGAAGTAGTCGAGGAGTTAATTTCATAGTGACCTGTCCACACCACCACTTCCAGGCTGAGCCGCCTAGAATGAGCAGTTGAGCCTACATATCCTTGCCAAATGATTATAATTGCGACAGATTTGGTGTCGTCAATCTAGCTGCTCAGCTGTTCTCCCAGATTGAGTGTCCTGCTTTCGAGTCCCCTCGAGATAATGGATGTGGGGCTGCATTGTGTTACGCACGGGCCACATCCCACTGCATCAGCATCCCAGACCAAGCAAAGGCATGTGCCAGGGGATGTGCTTGCGACACACTCAACCACGACACCAAATCCCCGCCCGAGCACGACCGCTCTCATCGTTCCCTTGGAGGACCCCCGCCACGAGATGGTCTGACACATAAACGGCAACTACCACCATGGACGTGCCGCCGGTCAAGCTGTCGGAGCTGCTCCGGCACCCGGACGACCTCGACAAGATCGCGGGGCTCAAAGCCGAGTTTGCGCGCAAGAAGGCCGCCGTCGACTCTCAGCTGCGCGGTGGCCTGCGTGAGCAGCTCGAGACCACCCAGGCTGGCATGAATGGCCTGACCGACGGCCAGAAGACGGTGCAACAGATCAAGGACGAGATGATCAAGATCGACAAGATATGCTCCGAGTCGCAGAACATGATCACCGATTTTGCGACCATCAACCTCGTGTCGCAGGCACATCGGAACTTCGGCGCCGTCGAGACCATGCGCCGGAACCTCGAGACCTTTAACGAGCGCCTCAGCGGCATCCAGGAGATGCTCCGCCAGGACGACGAGGACGCCGAGAACATGCCGAACCTGCTAGCCGTACACTACGAGCTGACCCAATTACGGAACATTCGAGACGATGCAATCGAGCAGATTCAGCGCGCTGACGACCCGGGCTTACAGTCGACACTAGAAGACTATTTTGAGCGCCTAGACCAGGCGATTGAGTGGTTCGACGAGCACATCAGCCTGATCGCGAGGAGCTTGATCAACCTTGTTATTGCGGACAACACGAGCCTGGTAGTGCGGTTTGCACTGATAATAGAGGCGGAGGAGAAGAGCGACCAGAGGGTGCTTGCGCTGCAAGAAGCACTCAAGGACCACAAGGAGATGGCGACGCGGTTCCAGAGTATCACGGACGGCGCCAAGACGGTACGCGGTTACAAGGACAAGTTCCTCGAATGCATCAGGAAGATCGGCGAGGGACAGTTCGAGGCGAGCAGGGAGGAATTTATGGATGACCCAGAGGTGCTGGAGAAGAGTCTGCGGTGGTATTTCAACGACCTCAACACGGTCAGGCTAGGCATGGTGCAGCTGATGCCGAAAAAATGGAAGATGTTTAAAACTTGGACAAACATTTACCATGGCATGATGCACGATTTCCTCATCAATATTATCGACGACCCCGAAGCCAGCTCGGCGCATGCGCTGGAAATCGTCGGCTGGCCCGAGAAATACTATCGCAAAATGAACAAGCTTGGCTTCAAGCAGGAGGAGCTCACACCACACGTTATCGACAACCGCGAAACTGAACTTGTGCGCGACTTCCGCGCGCTCATCATCAAGTTCCTGGACGAGTGGATTGGCCGCATCTGGACGCAGGAAACCAAGGATTTTGCCGACCGCAATGTCGAAGGTGGCAACCTGGACCAGGACGAGTACGGCTACTTCCGGAACAAAAACCTGGTCGATCTCTGGCGCATGTTGCGTGGGCAGATTGATGCGGCCGGCAACTCGAAGCGCGCCGACGTGGCCGAGGGCGTGGTGGACGCCATGTTCCAGCGGTTGCGGCAGCGCCAACAGTCGTGGCAGAAGATGCTCGAAGACGAAGCGTCGCGGTACGAGACGGACAAGGCGGGTGACCTGGAAGGGTTCCAGCCGTTGCAGGATTGGCTCGTCGCGACGGCCAACGACCAAATCGCATGCATCGACGACAACGAGGAGAGGGCCGGTTGGCGTACCTGGTCGATTTCAAGAAGAAGTTCGGCACCCTCGTGACGCCGCAGTACATGGACCGCGCCGAGGCCGAGGTGGCGGTTCTGCGCGACGGCTACCTCGACCTCAGCACGTGGTGCATCACCCGGTTTGCGCAGCTCGTGTTCTCGGTCGACTTCAAGACGGTCATGCCGGACTTCTTCACCCCGCGCTGGTACACCAGCACCGCCATGGCGCGCATGGTGGCCACATTCGAGGAGTACGTCGGTGACTACCGTCAAGTGCTCCACCACTCGCTCGTCGACATCTTCATCGAGATTTTTGCCGACGAGCTGCTGATCCGGTACCTGATGTCGGTGCGCAACAAGGGTGCCAAGTTCCGCCGGTCGGATATGTTCCAGGACAAGATCTTTGACGACCTCAAGACGGCGTTTGACTTCTTCAACAGCCTGCCGAACCCGGCGGTGGGCAACTCCATCAAGGAGACGTGGCGCGTCACCGAGCCGTTCCTGCAGCTGTTGTCGGTAGAGAAGGAGCGCGTCCCGGATACGTTTGAGGCGTTCAAGACGGCGTACTGGGATTTGCAGATTAGTTGGGTTGAGGCGGTGCTGCGGTCGAGAGACGACTTTGAGCGGAGCATGTTGAATGCGGTCAAGGCGAGGGCGGCGCAGATGGATGTGGTCAGGGGGCCTGAGACAATAATGAGCAAGGTTAAGTGATCTGTATAATGAATGATGGGTTATGAGGTTGCTGTCGGTAGGATAGGAGTCGGTTGGTGGTGTATTCCCTGATTGGCCCGCATGTTCCTGGGGCAACTACCAAAATAGGAAATTAAGCAAACATTGGCTGGTGGAATTCAGCCGCCCCAGCTTGCGTGTTGAACACCTTCAGAATCAATTCAGAACCCATTCAATGTGTTGAGACTTGATATCCCCTGTTTCAATACATAATTTGTCGTTATCTCCCACGAACAGTTTCTCCTTTTACTCTTGGCGCCACTGGGGCCGAAAACCATGGCACGTAACGCCAACACACACCAGATACCCAAGTCTCAGCTTGTCTCTACCTGGTTGCATGAAATCCCTTCTGATTTGGAAAGTGAGGGAGAAGAGACACTCGTCACACCATCTGTGTACGAACAGGCCTATCCTCGACGGCAAAAGGATGAAATCCTGCAAACCCAGCGACGACCAAAGCGACAGCCAAAGCCAGAACCAGAACCAGAACCGGAATTGGAACCAGAAACAGAGCCCCTGACACCGGTTCGCGCCGCTGTCCGGGTTCCAGTGTTTACCCCCAAACAACCTCTCTATCCAAATCTCAGAAGTCCAGCCCGCTCGCCCACCCGACCCCAACCACAACCACAACCACGTCGAAATCAGGTCCCCAACCAGGGCCACGACCAAAGAGCCAAGCCACACCAACCCCCCCTTTCCCACGGCAAACCAGCCGCCCGCAAGCCCTCACCCGCCAAATCCACCTCAGCCCAACCACTCGCCCGAACAACGGCAAGATCACCAACCTTCCACCCCCTCCACGACAAAATCCTCCTCACTTCACCACCCAATGAAAGCAATGACACACACACCTCTATCCCTTGCACCAAATTTATATGCAAACCGAGTTAGTAACAGAATCAGGGCAAAAGGTAAACTAAGGAGCAAAGAGAAACTGACTTGGGCCCGAATGAGATAAGGAGGGATCAAGATTCTAGAGAATTAAAAACGGGAATAGGGCCAGGGAGACACAA